CACAACTCAAAATTTGGCATTTTTGAAATTATGCACTAAAAATGTATTTATGTTACCCTTAAGCAAAGGCTGGAGAAAATTTTTGTTGCAATTTATTGAAAACACCTAAGGCATAGTCTCGCTTGCCCATACGATTAACATGTGCTACGAAATAGTTTTATTGCATTTTCTGACGAACGTGTAATTTTGAGTTGTGTCACTTTTAAAGATCGTTTGCGATATGTACATGCATAAATGTGTGTTTATACATACATGTACATACATACATATATATATATACATATACATACATATATCGTCGTTTAAAGAACAAAACCGTGTATCGTCATTCTGCAAAACCGCGTAACTGACACTGGTTGCCAAAAATTGGATTTGCTCACACAAACTCTTGGCTCAATCCTTATCCATTCGGTTTTGCATTTTATTGATACGCGATTTTGTACTTTAAACGACGATATATATATATACATATATGTATATATGCATAAATACAAATTTAAAAGATCTGCGCAGAGCACGCCACACACATACTGTTGATGTATGCACATTAGGGTGGTCCAAAAATGCATGTGAAAAGGTAAATTCGAAATTTGTATGCCCCCACCACCTAGGATTGTTCTACACCGAAAAAAAAAAAATATTTTAAATTTAAGAGATATTTAGAGGTCGCTCGATGCGCTCAAAAATTTTCATGTATTTTATACGGGAAAAACCACGTTTCGTAGAAATGCTCTAGAATTCTTGAAAATCAATACTTTTGTTAAACCGCTCCTGAATTTTGCGAAGTGGAATTGTCATTTTGAGTACATTCTCTTATCGGATCTCTCTTTCTTTTTTTAATATATCGACCATGGCACAGTTCCATAAGTAACGTAACTATTCTTCTTACCGTTTTTCTGGTAGGCTGTAGGTGTGTTTTTGGTTAGTGTATTGGTGTTTTTGGTTCAGTGTGTTAGTGTTTTTTTAAATAAATTGTAATAGAAATGGAAGAAATTGTAATAGAAATGGAAGAAATTGTAATAGAAATTAAAGAAATAGTAAAAGACAAGAGCAAATGCCAAAAAATAGGTGATCTCTGCATTTTGTTTATAATTATTTCCCATACATTAAATTGGTATTCGGGTATAATTTTCACTTCCGTTATCACAAACAATAGTATATTGCATGATACAAAAATTTAAAGGTTAGAAGAGCACGCCAATATGACTCCAAGTTAGAAGTCATATTAGAATTTGAAATATGGTGCTTTCTCAGACTTAAAAAAATATATTCTTTATAATTCTGATTATTAATACACTTTTACTTAATACTTTTGTTCAACTCCGAATTTATAACTCCAAAAGAGTCCGAAATGAGTCAGTCTGATTGACTGGTCTCGTGGTGAAATTAAAAACAGGTGAAGTAATAAAACAGCTTTTTTTCCGACATTCGGGTATCTTATAGAAATTGTTAACGGCAAATTTTCAAACAAGTATCAGATCTTTCTTTTCGCTCTAATTATCACACCTGGTACAATTTTGCCATGGACTGGCCTTAGAATCATATTTATGACGAAAGAAAGACTCATTCTAGACTCATACAGGCATGTTCTGAAATTCGAAAATTTGAAATCGACTCGATTTCGATAATTTTTTCGTTGGCTTTTAACCCAAAAGTTTACAAGTTTCGCATTAAAATGATTTATTTTATATCGCTGTTGCTTCTTTTATGGTTTTCAATTAAAATATTCACTCTTTTCATCAGAAATAATTAAAAAATATTTGGCAAATCAAGGCGGTTTCAAAGTGTCGAATTTCAGAACATGCCCGATAAACTCTGAGCACTCAGAAAATTGTTTAAAGAGTTATTTTTTACTTTTTCTTTGACTAAAAAAACAAAAGCCAAGTTTGACCAAAAAACTTTAAATTTTGACTAAAAACATATCGGTGAAAAAATAAAAATTATTTATTGCCTCTTTTAAAAAAAGCATAATAGTACGGTCCCTGAAATATACATTTCCTTTCTAATCAACTTCAAATTAACTTATAGTTTATCTCCTGCACTTATAGTTTCCTGCAGGGTATGTTTTTAGTACAGTACGCTTAATATTTAGTATATCGTCGATGTTTTTGCAAAACCGTCTATCTTACGGCACTCAAATTTTATAGGAGAGCGAAAAAAACGGGTTTTCTTTGAAGGTATTGCCTTTATAGGCGGTATTTTCTCTAGCTATTATTTTACAAAAAATACAACAAATATGTTGTTTTAATAACGATTTTAAGATCTTTATGCATAAATCTCGATGCCTGGAATTCAGGGTTAACAAATCAGGTTTTTCGCCACAACGGCGATTTAGGCGGTTTTGCATAAACATCGACGATGTAGCTTAAATATAGCATTGGCACATTAAGTTAAACTTTTGGCAAATAAAATAAATTTTTAGGCAAATAAAATGAAACTCTTCTGTAGTACTAAACAGTGCCTGAAAAACTGTTGTTGTTGCAGCGGCTAACTGGTACTTGCTTTATTTAATGTAGTTTTCATGGTTAATTTTCTTTGCCTAAAGTTTAAATTTATTTGCCCAAAGTTTGGGTCTATTTTCCAAAAGTTTAACTTAATGTGTCAATGCTATACTTGCACAATGGATTTATCAAAAAAAAAAATAAAAAATTTAACATTACATAAACCATAGAAATATAGCCACTACTGGTCAAAATAAGGCGAGTCTATTACTTTTGCCATCAGTATAAGTAATACATTGAAATAGAAGAAAATTATTATAAACATACATATGTATATACATAATGCTTATATTTTTCGCCTTCTACAAAATAGCTTGGACTTCAAAATTATCGCCGACAATGGACATGCACATGAATGGCGTTACACAGTCGTATACACGGAGCGTTTATCGCACTGGCCCTATTGGTTGAATACGGCGAAAGCAGATTATATTGTTACTAAGACTATGCCAGGAGTGGAGCCCGCCATTTATGCGATCGAGTCCAATCACAAGACTTGCTTCTTCAAAGGCACCTATTGTTGTAAGTTCCGGTGCACGCGCTTATTAAAAGGTGTCCCATAATTTACGCAAGATTTTCATTAAATAGAAAACACAGTTTGTTTCACAACATGATGACTTCGTTCGTCATAACTGCCGCATTTGGGGTTCAAAGAACACATTTGTGAATGTCGAAAAACAAATGTGCGAGTTTTCAGCTGGCGTCGTAATTGCTCCATATTTTTTTTTTTTTATGTAGGAAAAATTCGTATAGGCGCGTATTTTCCTGTAAACCTGGGGCAATCCTTTCCCCGAAGGGCTATTCCAGACATAAACCTATCATTCATATTTAGAAAAGCAATTGTGAAACAAACTGTGTTTTCTATTTANCAGGCTAGCTCAGCGCAAGTTCTGAACCAGTTTGATTTGCTGCAGGGAACCTACACTAAGTATTGTTTCGGGCGTATTTATTTCGTGATTTTTTTGTAGCACCGTGTTATAGGACACATTCGGAAAACAACTTGAGTTGCATTCGGCCATTTTGCTTTTTAAGCACCGAACTTTTCCTCCAATTTGTGGCGCACGTCTTGATGTCACACAAAATGGATGGAACTCGGTTTTATGTCGCCTGCGAACGGCAAATGGGTTTTTATGAGAAACTTTTTTAAGGCAGAAATTCAATCGGATTTTCGGCATGCCTGCNTTTTTTTTTTTTTATGTAGGAAAAATTCGTATAGGCGCGTATTTTCCTGTAAACCTGGGGCAATCCTTTCCCCGAAGGGCTATTCCAGACATAAACCTATCATTCATATTTAGAAAAGCAATTGTGAAACAAACTGTGTTTTCTATTTAAGAAATTTGAATGTTGCATAAATTACACGGTGTTACAAAAAAAAAAAAAACGCGAAATGAAATTAGCGATAATCTAATAATTGTATTGATATATGTACATTTTCGAAACATATTTGATTTTTAAAAGGACGAAAAGTAGTCAAGCTGTTAATAGATAAGTGCAACATGCAAAATAACGTTAAAAAATTAAACCTCTTTTCAAGTTATACTGGGCCCTAGCTANTTTTTTTTTTTTAGAGGTTGTTTGGACTATTGATCGTATTAAGCATAGCAATAATCAGTCAATTTTTACTGATAATGAAATTTTAATTGAATTACCAGTAAAATCTTACTGATTACGGAAAATATAGCAGTAATCAGTAATTAGCAATAATGATAATTAAATCTCATTTGCATTACTACTAGAGACGAATTTAAGTAATTATTACAGGTATTTTCAAATTAAACTTCATAATTATTTTACAGTACACTCGACAAGCGAATTTAAATGCACCGCCTCCGGCAAGGACACCTATTGCAGCGAACATATACAGTATCAGTGTCCACCATTTCTGAGTGAAGCCTGTCGTCGCGAATTAGAATATCAGCGCCAAGCAGTTATGCACAATTTGACTGCAATTTTCAGTAAAAACAAATATTCCAACTAACGAATTTCAATTCATTTACGTATTCCATTTATTTCAATCACTTCGAGTTCGGCAAATATTTCAATCTAAACATTTGATTTTAATTTACACTGGAGTGTAAACACATATGTAAATTTAAAATTTTAAAACTCAATAATAAAACTAATTAATATATTTATGTATTTAGTTTCTATATGAATGTATCTAAAATTTTCAATTAAAATGTTTTCATATGTATATGTTAATACATATGTATGTACGTATATGCATATGGAGATACATGCATACATACATATGTAGCCTACACCGGCCAATGTTTTAAAACTTGTACTCAACAGTTACATATGTATGTATTGTACTGACGATGGGGTATTTCAAAATTCCATCGCTACTTTGAACTAATCGTGTTCGTATCTCTTTAATTAGATTCTAATAATTATAAAAATCTGTGTGCATTTACGATAGAATTGAATAAAGGTACATTAAAACTGTCTAAATTGTTTAAATACATGCAGGTTAATTTGATTAATGTGCATACATACATGCAGATTTATCATATACACAGCGTATCTCATCTCAGCGCATCTCATCTCAGTTTTTGAAGGACAGCTCCAGACAACGTCTTTTAAGACGCTTAGCAATTGCGCTCCTGGTATGCTTCCTAGCACGCATTTCTTGCAGATCTACATTCGATTGAGAGGCATTTTGCGTAGCATTTTTCTGAAACCATTTGGTGAGTTTTGTCGATTGTGTTGATCTATTTTTCGGTGATCTGCGCGCTAGCGTCCCTGAAAACTGCGTTTGTACGCGTTTGCTGGGCGTACGCTCGTCCAGAGATGTCTCCGTTGGTGTCAGTTGGGTCGAACCGATAAGATAATTAGTAATTTTATTGTGCTGTGTTAGTTGTTGGCTCCGAGCTGCTGTTTGAACGGGCGATATTTCTCCATTAGAATTGATTCGCATCACACTGCCGAAAGCATCATTATTTGTAATTTCAAATATTTCCTCGTCCACCATCGGACCGCTTATTATTTGAGTGGTGGTACTATTAATGATTTGCTTTTGCTTAGGTTGGTCCTGGTTTTGTACTTGCTGCAGTTGAGCGGCATTAGCAGTGTTTGGTAATGACGGCATCACTGGTTGACTTCGTCTCGTCGCCCTTTTTACTAGTTTGTCGTCTACTGATTTCTTCGATGACTGCTTGTTTTGTGTTTTATTAGTGGCATCTTCGGTATGGGGATCATCAAACATTTTTTCAAGAATATTCAAGCAAGATCGGCCCCGACTCAGGACGACTTTTGGTTTATTTTGTTTGCCGTTGGAATTGTGTGCGTTCTGTTGCTGCATTTGTTTGACCTCGGAGCCAAATATCTTGAAGCCTTTAAAAGACTCAACTCCATCATTTCCATCCGCGGCAGGTTGTTGTGTGCAAGTCAATCCAAGGTCTGTGCTAGCACTAAATATATCAGGTGATTTCCGGTGTATACGTTGCTGTTTAGCTAACAGTTCACCGAATGTGGGCGTTGTAGACAATTCAGCTAATCGCTCGCGGTCTGTTGTAGGACGCTTCAGTGACTTCTTTTGCTTGAGTGCCCGAGTTCTACGACTCTGTGCAGATTGTTGTGACGATAGAGAGCCATCTTCTGTTGAACTGGATAATATAACAATCTGTTGGTTTTTATTATTTGCGTCTGGCGGAGGTATGAATACTACTTCAGAATCAGTAAAACTACTTGGTGTAGGTAATATTTTAGCTTCGGAATTGCGTATGACTTTGATCGGTGTTGGTGGTCTCAAGAAAAGGTTATCTGAATGCGTGTCTGCAATTACTTTTTGGCCACATTGCATATCCTCTGTCGTATCGGAGAATGGAAGTATAGCCGAGTCTGTTACGTTTGATACTTCGTCAGAAGCAGCTATTATTTTTTGTCTTTTTGCATTAGTATATTCATCCTTTCGTACTTTTTCAACAACACCTATTTCCAGCTCTTCATGAATATTTTTTCTTTTCTTACCACTGGCAGCTTTTTCCGTTTTCGTTGATTTGGAAACATCTCCTTGTTTGTCTTTGGTACCGGTGCTGCCAGAATTTTGTGCCACTCCTCTTCCCCTTTTCTTCCCTTTTCGAATACTATCTAAGGAAAGAGGCGACGTCATATATTTACTTCTTGAACTATCTGAAGACCGAGTCTGACGCTGCATGCCTCGGGTATTCCGCGAAGTTGGTGTCTGTAAAATTTCCATTCGTGAATTCGTTTTTGCCCTATTTTTTAATTTTTGAGTACCTTTAACACTTGGCGTCGAAGAACTGAGCGATTTATTGCCACTGTTTCGTTCTTTCTTGGCAGTATTTTTTGAAGAAGCCGCAGACGCTAGAGATACTGAACGGTTCGCCTTACAGGGTGACGCAGAATATTTGTCTTTAGTACGGATTATTTTATCACACCTCAGCTGTCTCAATCGCCTTGTAGGAGTTTCGCTTACATCTTGTTTGGACTTAACGACATTTTGACTAATTTCATTACTTTCCACCTTTTCATTCGCCGCCCTTCTACCACGCTTTTTGGGAGTTTCGCTTACATCTTGTTTGGACTTAGCTACCTTTTCATTTTTAGTATCCGCCTTTTCATTATCCGTCTCCGTATCACGCGTTTTAGGTTGCTTTACTTCACACCGCTTTCTTGGAGAAAGATTTTTCTCGTTTTGAAGATTAGTGTCCTTAGATGACAACTTTTTTTTGCTTAGAGTCTCTTTATCCGTCTTTGTTTGATCAATCATTCGCCGTCTTGTTGGTTTCAACTCTTTTCCAGTATCGGTTGCTTTTGCTTTCTTGTTACTTCCATTGTAAATGCGCTCCATACGCTTTGATTCCCGACGTTCGATTGTATTAGCTTTGGCCTCATGCGACTTGGGCCGTATATCGACTGGATCATGCGTCTTAGAAACTTTATCCTGCTTCTTTTCTGAGTTATTTTGTATTTGTCGTGCCACTGCAGAATTTTTATTTTTTGAGTTTTCATTTATAATCGATTTAGAGGGACCCTCTTCGGGTTCCTCGGGTGTCTTTTTATCTAAAGTGTCTTTACAATATTCAAATTTTGTCTTTTTTACGTTAACTTGGTTCTCTATTACATCCTTTGTGTTGTTAATTTGTTGTGTAGTTATAATGTCAGGTGTCTTTTGATTATCGATTTTATTTGTAGGAGATCTTGGAGTTGAATGGCATTTATCATTTTTTCCTTCAGAATGGCTTATTTCCTTTTTAGCGGTACTAATATATTCTTCTGACCCTCGGTCATTTGAAAGATCAATAAATTCATAAACATCAGGCTCGACGCTTGGAGGCATTATAGTTGGATAATTTAATAAGTCAACCACCTCCTCTGCTTCATCACTACTACACGATTCCGAATCTATTAGAAGCGGCGGCATAATGATTGCATCCTCTGATGTTTCATTGTTTTCACTATTTAAAGATTGGCCCTGCCGCGCATCTATAATTCCTAATATCTCACGATCCAGCGCCAGCGCTTGATTGAAAAGTTCTTCCGTCGCCGTTTCGGAGTTTGCGTTCACGTTGTTGGTATTGTCGTTCGATTTTTGTGAACTGTTCGAACTGCTTATTGTATGCCATAACTCTAAACTGATTTTATATCGATCCAAATCCACTAGTGGTAACTCATCTTCGAACTGATGTCTATATCGCCGCAATCGAAAATCTCTATAGAAGATAATAAAATATTTAGTAGCTGTCTATGAAACATTGAAGAGTTGTGGCTGCTTCATATTAATATACATATATTAGGGCGCAACAATTTTGTTTCACTATACGCGTATAGCATAGGATTCTATGTGTAATTCTAAGCAAATTCGCCGAAGAAACGATGAGTCTAAAATCAGTTTGGAGTTTGCCAAATTACGAAAATAAGTGTCGAAGGAAATGTTGCACCCTCTGGTGGAAGTTTCAAGAAAAAGATAAGTGCAGAAATGGAGTCCTCTTACCATAAAACTCCTTTTAGCATTTTTTTATACAAAGTTTAAGCACTTTTTTACGACACTACATCAAAGTGCTAAGAAAGCTATTTTCGCACTTTGGCAACCCCAAGGTTTCTTCGGCAAATTTGCTTAAAATTACACGTGGACTCCTTCTGTGATATACGCACATAATCGAAAAAATCTCCCATACAAATTGATACGCCCTAACATACATGGTTTACAAGTAACTTCAATTGGTATGGGGTTCAACCACATTTTAAGAGCTACTGTTGGAAATATAATAATTGAAATAATAAAAAAATAATAATTTTCTTACTTGCAATAATCACTTATCATTTCCCGTTTTAAGAAATATTGTTCCAGGTCACATGTTTTATTAAGTACATCCTTGGAATCTGGCAGTTTATACTTGGCTTCGAAAGATTTAAACTGTTCATATTGATGTTCCAAGCGACCTCCCAAACGTAACGAATTATGCAACAATTTCAAATCGGCCTGCAATCAGAAAAGTAACAAAACCATATATAAAATCCTACTTATTGATAACTAATACATGCTATTTACCGTGACGTCAATACTCGATATTAATAAGTTGACCTTATGTTCGTAGTTACTCAACAGCATGGACATGCAGAAGTTATTATTCATCATTTGTCCTCTGTTGTCGACGATAATGTAATCAAAATTAAATTTGCTCCCAACGACAGTCGAACGTAGAGTACTCCATTTGGCAATAATTATATTGGGAGGAGGATCTAAGATGCCTATGTAGTAGAGAAAATACAAATAGGTATGTGTACGTACATAGATATGCTTTTATGAAATATGACGATAAAATAATACAAAATTTGTAAATATGACGTCCATTACTGCTCGTAGCACATAAGAGTGCAATTAGAATGATATATGTATATATATATATATATACATGTGCATTTAAAGTCAATGCTGCAATTAAATTTAAGCGAGCGGAGTGCAGCTAGTATTTTCAGAAAACATGTGCATTTTATTTTTAACTTTGCGGTATAATCTATGAAAACTAGACATGCATAATATATGTATGTGTGTATGTATGTAGAAATCTTACTTGATCCTAAAACACCAACAGACAGTTTTGTAAGTACTTCGAAATGAAACTGCCAACCCGTCACAAAGTCATCATCGTTTTGAACAACTATAAGACAATTCTTGTTCTTGGCTATCGCCCCTAGATATACTGTCGTGGCCACACATTTTCCCAAGCCGCTCTCGTCGTTCAATATGCAAAAATCTCTATTAGCCAAATGACGGTGTAAAAACCGCAACGTCTCAACTTGGAAATCCTTAAGGTATTGTATTATGTGACCTGGTATTTGTACTTTTTCCGATAAATCCAAAGGCTCTGGCGCACTAGTGGCCACAAAATGATACATTGCTGGTTTACACTCCCCCACCACGATTCACCCCTCTCTCCACTTCGTCGTTAATGCCAGCTATGTCCGCGTATTAGTCGCCGATCGTGTTAATGTAATGCAACGAAATGTATAAAGCAACCAATATGTACAGCAACTTGATGTAAAAGAATATCACAAACATAGAGAATGGCCCAATAAAAAGTGTATTTGGCGTATCGAAGTATTCTTGAGTAACTCTGGCACTTGTGAAATATTGCATGTGTGTAATTTGCTATTTTTCCGTATATTAAAAACTTCTAAATCTGCCAAAATATGTTCCCTCCAAAGGTATTTGCCTTATTGGGTCAGCGTGACAGCGCAGGGTCACTGAACTGTAATGTAGCCCATGGACGAACCAATTTTAAATTTTATCTATGCCACCGTCTAGGAGTGTTATTCAGCTTGTTATAAGCTTTGTTTTTGTGTAGACAAAAGGTTGAGCCTGGTTTTGTTTTGAAAACCGAAATATGCACCCAAAGCAAGGAATTTTGATGAGGAAAGCAACTTGATGGCGGGGTTATTGATATTGCCAGTTTTTGACAGTTAAATTGGCCCAGCCACGGCGAATATGAATTCGCCTGGTCCCAACAGAAATTCGCGCAAAAAAGTGCTGCCATATTTGTGACGAAACAAATGTCATGAAATAACATAACGCAACACCGAAAGAATACAAGATTGCGCTGATTGATGCCAAAGAACGTTCTTTACGTTCTTTGCTTGTTCTTACGTGATCTTGTGTCTTTCGTCCATGACGTCCTCGCAGATTTGTCGATGGAGAGAGCTGAGTAGGCATGAGTAACTATGTGCGGCGCGGCGCAACCGCGTTAACACCGTAGCCGGAATTTCCGCGCCAACACCAATATAAAAAAACACATGAGACACATAATTCCCCTTCATTCTTTGAAAATTACACTCACTTTTGCTTTTGAGTGGTGAGAACGCCAGAAACTTATGTATCATGGCAAATTTAAAGCCTTTAGTCAAGAATGATAAAAATATCGTGGCATTTACTACATTCCTAGCAGTTAAATTCGGTTAGAAGTAGAAGCGTTGCTTAGCGCCGAAACTTAAAGAAATAATAGATTTGACACCACTGTATTGTGTATGATACTGTATAACAATGGGTACTGTGTGACGCTCACCATAAAAATTGCGCTATTACGTCACATTGATAATTGCGTTCCCATGAACCAAAAATACAAGATCACGCAAGAACCCGTGGTTGTATTTGTAACTGGTTTTGAGAAAAAAGTTTGGGAAAACGGCTTCGTCGGCTGAGCATTTGTTTACATCACAATTGGAGTATCCAAGCAAATGCATACGGCAGCAATTCATAGCAATTATGTATGACTCATATTTGTGATATTTTGTACTTTGATGTTAAGTATTTTTGGGGGGCTCCGGGTAACTTAGGGTTTACACCGGACAATATTGTCAAGACAGTTATATCAAAATGATGTGTTTGTTGTAATATGAATTCGCCGTGTTTACAACAAACACATCATTTTGACATAATTGTCTTGACAATACTGTCCGGTGTAAACCCTAAGTTAATCTAAGTTTAAACTGCCGCCTGTTACACGATCAATACAAATCGCGAAATTTGGATCGTGATCCATATTGATGGATCGTGAGTGTGTGCTAAATGTTCAATATTTATCGCGTCAGTATTTGCATAATTTTTGTGCTGCACGCTTATTATGCCGCAAGAAAATATTTATATTTTGTTCCAATAATTTAAAGATAATGCATTCCATTATTCTTTTAAAATTAAATAATTTAAATGCTTTCAATTGGTGCTTAAAGGTTTTAAGAGCCGAGAGCGAATACGTTTTTGATGTTCGCATTATGAGAGTACAAAATGTACTCACGGAATGTATGGATCGCGTTTTGAATATGCTACACCTTCAATATTTATTGCGCGGTCCACGATCCGTGATCTGGATTTCAAAACTTCTAGATATTTTGCGATCCGTATCAAGATCCATCAGTATTTGATGCTACACCTTCAATAAATATCAAGTTTCAGGATCGCGATCCAGATATCGCGTTCCGTATTGATGGTGTGACCACCGCCTAAGATTTTACGAAGCAGGTATCGAAACAACGATTAGAGTAAAAAAGTAGTTGGTATCGAAACAAAAGTATCTGAAAATCCCTAGCTACTCATGCCAGTGATGGAGCAAGAGCATCTAGACAGGATTTTATTTGGAATTTTCAGAGAGCATAAAACGATCTACGAATTTGTTGATACAATTTTTGGATTCCTAACACGCAAGTATGTGCATAGAATAAATCCAACTTGACCTCACATCGTATTGTTTCTAACAAATTCGTTATTAGTACTAATTTTCAGTCAATAAAGTCTTCAGAAAGAGAACGGCTTCAACAAACTTTTTTTGATGCATTGGCGGCCACCGATCCCAATCAGCAATCTTCAGATAGGTCGGAAAATACCATTACGGGAAAATCACGAACTGCTACGTCAGAGAAGGAAATCGAAACGGAAACGGCCGTTGATGGATCGAAGTTTGAGTTGAAATATTTAATAACTGGTACAGAAACTTCTTCGGAAGGTCAAATGGTGTTTAATTCAGATCATTTAATGTCCGATGCGGAATGCTCTTTTAATTTGCAAATACAAAAGAGCGGCACGGGTATTAGAAGATATCGTAAAATTTTACCTAAAGATTACTTCGACCAGAGCGAGAAGATAAGTGCAGAATGCTCAGTTATTCAACGTGATAATTTAGAAAACTACAAGAAACGTGTTTATAAATGTGGTGAATGCTCGGACATATTTAATTCTTTTCGCCAGCTCAAAGTCCACGAAGCCTTTCACATATCTCAAGCAGAGAATGGCATTAGTATTTGTATATATTGCTGCAGTTTGTTTGCCAACGCTGAAACATTAGAGAAGCACATTGGTGAATGTCATTCTAATGGGCGATACTTATGTGTCCCGTGCTCCAGAACATACAAAAGCCGTGGGCAATTACTTAAACATGTAAATTCCAGTGCACACAACGCCAGTGCACTATTATACTATTGCAGTCTGTGTCCCCGGTCTGAGAAGTCACATATAGAGTTTCTTTCGCGACCAGCATTACAACAACACTATCAAGAAATGCATTTGCTTATGCCGGCAAATCAGGATGAAGACGACGTCGAAATTGAAATGAATGAAGAATTTCTTGATGAGTTTCTTCTGAATAATGTTAATGAGAACTCTTTTAATTTTTCTGAATGCTGGGATGCATTAGACTTGAACCTTCCAGAGATGTTACATTTGACTAGTACCGATGAAGATGACCCTAATGCTAAGGTTAACATTGTTCAGAACACGGAATTCCCTTTCAAATGTCCAAAATGCTATGAAGGCTTGTCGAGTCAGAAGTTTCTTTTACAACACTGTGCCCACAAACACGGACTACGGGTATTAATTTGCAATAAATGCGATTCTAGTTTCAAGGATTATACTCAGTGGATACATCATAAAAGAACACATCGCGTTCAATGTGATTTAGTACGAAACGGTAAAGGTGAACCACTAAAATGCGAAATATGCGATAAAATCTTTCAAAGCAATGCCGCACTTAACTATCATGTAAAGACGCATTTGCGCAGTTCCATGCAGGCTGCACACGAATGCCCATATTGTCAGAAACATTTTCATTCCGATATCAATTTCAAGCAGCATATTCGCATCGTTCATTCGCATACAAAGCGACACAAATGTGAGCTTTGCGACAAACCATTTGCAACACTTGATCATCTAAAGAAACATGTTTTGAGCCAACATCAAAATGAGCGCAAACATATTTGCCAGGTATGTGCTAAATCTTTTACTCAATTGTGCCACCTTAAACAACATCTGGCAATACATACTACAGGAAAGTCACAACAGTGCATTAAATGCACTGAGAAATTTTGGCGCAAGATCGATTTGCAACGACACATGCTGAAAAAGCATTCATGAGAATCTTCAATAATCTCCATGTTTAGTTCTTTAGTTCTTGGCATATAGTATGTACATATCGTCGTTTAAAGTACAACACCGCGTATCGTCGTTCTGCAAAACCGTGTAACTGACATTTTTTGCGAGAAATTTGATTTGCTAACCGAAGCTCTTGACTCAAGGCTTATCCACATTTCCGGAATGCGATTGCTTTATAAAAGATAGAACAATTTTGAAATATGAACTCAACAAAATAATTTATGCAACCTCACATACGCGGTTTTGCATTATGTTGATACGCGGTTTTTACTTTAAACGACGATATGGATTCACTTTGCTTTAGACTACATATTTTTAACACAAATTATTTCTAAATGAAAAAGAGTTGGCGGTTTCATATAAAAATGTGTTTTTTTTTTGTGTTTGTAAAATATATTAGACCGTCTACGAGAGTCACAACTCAATTAACTTTTGCGCTTATTCCTTGTTAGCACAGACATCATGACATTGTCAATATTGGACACTTTATAAAATATATTTACGCACTGTCATATTAAAAAACATATAAGTTTCTTTTTATTTTAGCTCTTCTTCTAGAAAACGTTTTAATGATGCACAGAAACGCAACGCCCCGTCAGCCAATTTTTCCTTGCTGTGAAAAGCGATACTTAAACGTAGGCAATTTTTCGCTACTGTCGGTTCATACGCAAAACGCGATCCTGGTATAAAGAATACTTTCTCATCTTTCACACAGTATTGTAAAAATTTGGCGGCGTCCGCCAATGGGGGTAATGAAATCCAAATAAAATATCCACCTGATGGTCTTGTCCAATTACAACTTGGGGGTAAATGGCGTTCAAGAACCTCGCAAGTAGCTAACATACGCTCTTTGTACGCATGTGATACTTTATCAATGTGTACTTGAGCCAATTTCAGTTCGAAGAGGCTGGCCAATATACCAGAAGTATAATTGTTAAAACAACCGCCACTATTCAAGATACCACTGCGATGAGAATGTTCGTTTTATATTTAAAAAGAAAACACAGCATAATGAATAATTGGAACTTACGACATTTCCAAAATAGGTTTCAAACGTGCAGGTACCTCCAACCAACCCATACGTAGGCCTGGTCCAATTATTTTTGAGAAACTTCCATTCGAAATTATATTTCCAGATCCTTTATCGTAGGCAAACAATCGTTTGGGTGGTCGTGCTATTGTGTAATTTAGGATATTGTAAACGTCATCACAAAGTATTAAGAAGTCATATTTTTGGGCCAGTTCAGCAAGATTTTGGCAAATAGCTGGATTTAATTTAAATAAAGAATTGTGAAAGTATGAGTATGTTAAAAGCTAATAGAAGAGTCTATATATGTATATACATACATATGTACATATATGCACATATCGCTCACTTTCTAAACGACTAATATAATTCGTCGCCTGGGTAAAAGATTGTCGTAAACGCAATTTTGACGATTTTTATTCAATGCATTCCAAGCTTCAATCGCGATTTCACACAACCTGCCGAAATCAACATACGACAATCTTTTACCCAGGCGACGTATTGTAAATACGAGATTTTTTTGGAAACGCAATTAAGTTTTCAATTTGCTCCCAAAATGATCAAGCGAGATACATATTAGGGGTATTCAGAGATACATATTAGGGGTATTCAGAGATACATATTAGGGGTATTCTCTGAGTCTGAGCAAAGCCCTTTCATGGTGCACAGATTGCACGCTAATAACCGGTATTCGTATGGGACAGCTTTGCAAACCGTGCGATCCGTGCACCGTGCAAGGATTCACATACTTACGGCGCGTTTACACCGGACAATATTGTCAAGTCAATTTTTACAAAATATGAATCATGATACCAAGGGCTTATATTCAATACCCTCTATCTACAATTTTTACAAAAACTACTTTGTGATGTTAGAACCTATCTGGGACTTTACTGTCATCACTGATGTTAATTCTGACTTCGCAATTTAATAGTAAATTCTTCTGTCAAGCGTTATACAAGGTCAGTGTTAATATCACCGATGACAATTTAAATATTTTTCAGCAATAATTTCATTAGGATATAAACCAAAATGCTTTAATATCGTACAAATTCATTGAAAAAGTTACTTTTTTGTTTTCAAAACATTAAAATCTAAAGATTATGTAAAAACAAGTAATAAAAGACCGGGCAGAGCCGAACATTAAATACCCGGTGCAAGTATTAAATATATGTTTTTCACCTTTCCGAAAGCTGTATCAATTTTGAGTAAATGCTGTATCAAGGCTAACAACTGTGCCAAGTTTGGAAGAAATTGGTGCAGCGGTTACCAAGATACACACATGTAAACATAAGTGGGCGTCCTTTTTTCCAAAAATGTATAATATTCTTATTTTTCGTCTAAACATTATTGTAAATATCAATTTTGAGTGAATAATGTTCAGTAGTTACTAAAATATCGCAGTTTTCGTAATTCTGAAAACTACCGTTATATGGGAAGTAGGCGTGGTTATTGTCCGATTTTGACCATCCGTCCTACGCCCGAAAGAAGTGCACGTACAAAGTTTCGTTAAGATATCAAAATTTTTACAACCGTTAGAGTGTTCACAGACGGACGGACGGACAGACAGTCACCGCTTAATCGATTTCCTTTTTCATTCTGATCATTTATGTATACATTTTTCTATATCTTTTTCGATTCGTTTGCCTGTTACAAACAACCGTTATGTGAACAAAATTATAATACCCTTGTGCACAAGTGCCCTCGGGTATAAAAATAAAACTAACCAAAAAAAAAATAAAAAATTTGAAATAAAAAAATAAAATACCATTTGCGCCCGAGGAGGACTCGAACACGAATCTCTCGAACGGCAGCTTTGACAACTCGGCCATTGCGAATCTTTAGGCGGCGCGAGCAAAAGCCATACATAAACGCTATCATTTTCACTACACATTTTTGGTGAACTTTTTCTGACTCTCCTACTGATGAATACCAAAATCATCTCAAGTCACAAGAATAGTCACTAGTGCTAGTCTTAAATTCGTGACTTGAGATGAGACTGATCCCAGTTACTGAATCCCAGTGTTAGGTGGATTTTAATACCAGAATCTCATTTTTGCGAAAAGGGCAGATAGAGTGTATTGCATATATGTAAACCCTCGATATAACGATTGATTCGGCAACATTTGCTCAATTTCTCTTCTTGAGTTATGGCAGTCTTTTCGTAAACGAGCAAACATACATACATACCTTCCGAAAACAAAATCCCTGTCGGATTATGATAGGCGGGAATTGTATAGTACATTGCCCAAAAGGTTTTGGAATTCGATTGAAAACGTTTTTTCTGTAAAATTTGCTCAAATTCCTTCACGCTTACACCATCGTTGTTAAGTCGTACTACAATAAAAGATATATCTATTATATTGCGCATAACTGTACATACATATGTATAAATTTTTTACTCACATGGTATTATAGTGATCGTTGTAAATTGTTTAATAGCGTCAAGTGCAATCATATAAGTTACTTCATCAACGAAAACTATACCATTTAAATCGACCAGAGTAGATAAGACAAAATGCAGTCCCTGTGATGCACCGGTTGTAATTATGAGATCCTCGCTGGCGAAAATATTTTTCCGCTACTAATTAGTCTTTCAAAAGACTGTCGCAACTCAAAAACGCAATTTTTCGGCAGATGCATTTCAAATTTCCAATTTGCTCTCAAAAGCCAAAAAAGTATACATATGTATGTATATCCATAATCGCTTCTCACACGGAAATTACACAAGATTTAAGCGTAAAATTTTTGCTAAATATTAAGTAGGATTTAGCGAGTAATTTGGCACCATATCTTAAAACTCCGTTTTTTGAGCTGTGACCGGCTTAGTAAATTAGCTAAACATACATATATACATACATACCTTTTCACGGGATTATCAATGTATTGAGTGCTGAAGTACTCAGAGATAGCATTTCGCACTTCGACTGGCCCACTAGTTGGTCCGTATTGGAAGAGATAAGATAAATTTTCCTTTTCATAATTCTAAATTGAAATGCAGATATTCTATACTATGTATGTACATGATGTGCATATAAAGATATTACATTTTATACTGGAAAATTACTTACCAAACGATGCTTCGTGGCTTCTTGAAATATATCACAGCAATTTTCTAACAAATCTGGACCTGGAGCTCCTACACCTAAATTTAGGATGAGGTCGTCGTAAACATTCCAATCAGTTCCATCAAATAAATGTTTGAGTTTGCGATCTAGATTGGTTTGTGACATTTTACTGGCTAACCAGAATGGTGAGGCTGTGGAGATTCGCCTTGGGCTGTGGTATATAGCAAGAGCTGTCAAAAGTTAATATATTCTAAATGCTCTAATCTGCCCACAATAGTTTCGTTCCAAATAACTTCGTGTAAAAACCTGTTAAACTCTCAAATAACAAAATTACTCTCTTGAAAGTGAGGACCGAGAGCGAAACAATAGGTTTGTTCGTCGGAAATCCAGCAAGAATTATCAAACACTCAAAATATCAGAGAGTAAGAAAAAGTTCTCTCAAATTCTCTCTCTTGTTGAGAAACGTGCAAATTTCTGCACGAACGCAAATTTGCAGAAATTTGGTTACGCTGCCAGCTGGTGTCCACGGTTGCATTTCAAACATAATACATTTTTATAGAATTTTTGAAGTTCTTTCAGATGGACAAAAACAGGATACACATGTATATTTCTTGTTGTTCTGACTTTCTTTAACATACATTTCAATTTCTTTATCGTACCAGCTGGCGGGTTTCTTAAATCGACTCTGGTTGCAATTGCATTCCGATTGCGAATACAAGTTTTTTCAGCCGAGTTAAGTTAAAATCATTCGAATTAACTAAATTAATTATATCAACAAGTATTTACTTCCTTTTTCATAAAAAAAAAATTGCTCGTGTTTATAAATTTTTAAATTTAACGAACTTATTTACGACTACGAACTTATTGACGAGAACTGTCACGTTGCTCTCACAATTTTCGAGTGTTGGATATTTTTTTGGTCTGCACGAACGCAATTTGGGCAGAAGTCATGATAATTCGTACAAATTTTTTGCTCGACGTACAAACCTAATAAAAGTCACCTGGAACTCGAAAAACCACTTTTCCTGTAACACTTCCATTTTTTTCAATGTAGAGCGCCATGGAGACGATCAAAAATCTTTATCAACCGTCTCGCGTTATGCTTGACAAAAAACAAGAGCACTTGCCTTCTGATCGTCGTGGTGAGCAAGTGCGCGCACAAGAAAAAGAAATTGTTTGTTGAATTGACCTGTTTATTTGAACGTTTACGGGCTAGACAAGAGCCAACCTCACACATATGCAATGCTTGACGTATTTATTTTATTGTCTCCGTGGCGCTTAATGTTCTTTGCTTTCTGTTTTTGTTTACAACTGCAACCCTGCCTATCGTTTGACACTTTTCATGAACATGCGGGAAAAAATCTTCTGACTATCGGGTATCGATACGAGTACTGTTTTTCGATACGTGCTCAGTACTTGGTTCAAAAGTATCGATGCCAAAGTTACTGGGTATCGAACGAAAAGTATCGAGGATGTATTTGTATTTATTCGTATCGTTTCATCCCTATTTGTTCATCAGCTGTTCTGTGTTTTGTTCTTTGAAAACATACATATTTTATTTCTTTTTATTTCTACGCATATTCGGATTTGCAAAACGATTTTGTTTTTTCGTTGTGTCAAAATTGAATTCCAGTGAATAAATCACTGCAAAATTGTTTCAAATGTTTATATGAACGATTTGGTGTGCAGCATCAACGGTTGGCCAGTAAGATATGTATCCTTGACGATACCTACCTACTTATATAATTGTTTACAAATAGCTAAGATGCTGTTGCGCTTTAATTCAGCTGTAGTAAAAAGTCAAAACCAATTACCACCCTCAGCTTGGTGTCATGTTTTATGGCGGCACATTAGCACGGAACTGACAAATGCATTGCGGCCGTTTTATTTTGCGGTACATCCAGACTTCTTTGGTCAACATCCGGTTCAGCGCAACGTAAATGAGAACTCGTTGAAACTTTTGAGTGCGCATATGGAGTTGTTGTATGAGCGAAAATATCAGGCTTTGTACGAACCTAAAACATTACAGTTTTACATACGAGACGGAAATGCTAGTTCACGAGATACCTTCAAATTAATCAAGGTAACATTAGACCGAAGTACAAAGGATCCGAAGTTAGTGGTACAGCGTTTGTTGGAATTATGCAATCTTCCGACGGATTATGTTAAAACCATCAAATCAATGCCGGTTACGGCAGCTACGAGCGCAACAGCAACAGCAGCAGGTTTTGCGAATGCCACAAGCCCTTTCAAAGCGGGAAACGACTACAACTATGGATCACAGTTCTCCGGCTTTGAAAGTTCTTTCTATAATGTAAGTTGATTGCGCGATTTCTTATTACAATTATTCTCGAAGCATCGATTTTTATAAAAAAGGCTCTTTAAAAATAGAGAAGTTTTATTATGCATTCAACATATTTTTATTTTCTTTTAAAACGTATAGTAGCACACATTTGCTCTTACTGTGGGCCATTGTTGTTTCTTTTTGTTTGTGAAATGTGGTGCAGCAGCATTGTGAAAGTGATAAATTCAGTTGAAGAAGGCCTCCATTAATATCCCCACCGAGTTTTATACAAAAAAAAAAATATATATATATGATATAGCTATTGGAATTCTCAGCCTAAATTGACTTTGTAAGCATTAAATTAGAGGAATACATATACAGATAAATTTGATAAACTTTCCTTTCCGTTTGGTTTGTGTAACCACTCTATGCAAGGTAACTCATACTGCTTTAGCAAGGAAAACAACATACAGACGTGAATCCTTAATTTTGTACATAATTTGATGATGCATATTTTTTTATTAAAAAATAAAACCTTTGAATTAAGAATTTGCTTAATCCTTTGTAGACCAAAGAAGAGCAGAGGAAAACATTGGACTCTTGGTTAAAAAAGAATGCACCCATTGCGAAACTGCGAACTTCTGATTTGGATGATTTAAAAGAAGAGGTAATTAAGTTGCAGCAGGCTGTTACTAAACGATTGGGTCTAAAAGATATTCGTTACGATTGCGGTTGGAATTATGAGCATTTCCGTGGGTGCTTAAAATCCCTAGAGCGCATGGCTAATTTGCATTCTGATGAAATGGGAGCAATGAAAAATCGAGTTCTAGTATTTGCGCCTTTCACTGGCGTCAGCTTGGAGGGACATATAATGCTATTTACGGGCGATGTGCTGACCAGTTGGATTGATTTCATAAAAAACATTCCACAACATGATGAATTTTTAAAGAAAATACCCCTATACGAGAATACGCTGTCTCAGGTCCTCCTTAACATAAAAATTGGTCGAAGAAAGTTTATGCCCAAACAACAAGCTCGAGAATATGCTGCACATCTGATAAAAGTGACAACGACACTTGGGGACTACCTTACTGTGAATAAGTTCCCAAAGTCGTGGCCATCCACATTGGCCGATTATGAAATCGTCATTGAGTCGGAGGCAGGCCCGCTAATGGTAAATCCTACAGGTCAATTAATAGCGCCGGCAACATGCCCTGGATTCATGTTAATCGATTTCATTACTACCAACTTGGATGTAGCTAAGGAACGTACGGAAAAATATCTAACACAGAAGACGGTAGAACGGCAATTGAAGGCACAATGCCTACATCAATTACGTGTACATACTTTGACCAAAGATGACTCCGTTACTCCAGATAGAATGATAGAAACTATGAGCAAACTATTAGAATATAACGATATGCGCTTCCGGGAACTAAATTTACACATTACGAACTACTACTCTGTACTGACGGATGGAACTGTTTGCATACCGTGGGACTTTACACCAAGGTAGCGTATGTGCTATGGCGGTTAGTAAGAAATAAGGTAGAACCTATTTTAAAATTTGGACAGCAATTACTACGCTCATTCAAAGAATTCCCCATTATTTTTTTATGACTTAGCCTGTATAAAAACGAAAAGATTATGTTACTAATTAATAAAATGCCATAATGCTCTTTTAATACAAGTTATATAAACAAGTATTTTGTGTATTTTACTCTATATATACATATATATGCACATATATAATTATTTCTACTTTTTTAAGCAAAAATAATGCAGTTTGGTTTTTTTTTATTCCGTGACTGGAAAGTTATACATTTATTCATCTCTTCCGTGTGAAAAAATCTAAGAAAACAACAAAACATTCAAATATTGGGGAGGGGGAAGAACGCTTAAGTTTGGGCATACAAATTGAGCTTAAACTGCGAATCGATTTTCGGCCCAAATTCTCGAGCTTGAGTTCACTCCATCAGCGAAACAATCAAAGCTTCTGCTAACTTTTTATGCATCAGGCCCCTTATTTCAAGGTATTTACTAGCTTTATAAAATACGCTTGAAGTAGTGATATTTTATATTTTTCTTCCTTTATTTATATATATTCTGTATGATTCAATAAGCAAATTTTACTGTTTTCTCATCACCATTTAGATCATGTAGCTGCAGTCCTCTATCAGCCATAGACACTCGTTTTTATACAACTGAAAGTCCTCCACTCGCCGTGTGTATACATACTGCTCTGATTTGCTCCACATTGTTTGATTACCGCCACAAAGGTATTGACGCATACTGGCGTCCATCAATGCAACGCTATTTCCAACAAATACTGCCTGCCATACGCTTGGCGATTCTGAGCTGTACACGTTTTTAATGAATGCTGGTGGCATAGAGCTATTGACATTGGAATAATTTGTTTCCAGCTTTATATAGCGCATCCAAAATGTGCTATAGAAAGTATACCTGTTGCCCAGAAGACGCTCTATTTGGAAAACTGAACGATACTTGTACCCACTGGAATACGTGCACATCAAAGCCGTTTGTGCGCACTCGCTTAGGTAGCCAAAGCTGCCAGTAGTGTTATGAATACAAATAGCGCTGGCTTTGTGCAATGCAACCATAGATTCCGGCATGAAATCACTGATTTGCTTCAAGTACTTTGGCAGCAACTTGCCCATGTCACATTCGCTTAAGAGTTGCTGAACATCACTGTACAATAGCAGTTGAAAGTCGCTATTTCTGTTTAAAAATGTTAAATGCGCTATTAGCCGTTGATTCGAGTTTAATCCCAAACAATTGAGTGCATTTGCGACACTCCTATCGCTTTCCAACAGCTGTGCAGCATCGAATGTAACATTCAAAACTTCCTCAAAAATATCTTCATCCAATTGATTCAATTGGCTGATCACCTGGCGCACTAGAGGATAACTTGTGTCGTTGGCGCAAATGATATTTGTATCGTTATAATTGGCGGGGTGCAGTGGCA